GTATATGTACAGTAATGGTCACATGGCTTTGGTCATTGAACGTACATAAATACCATCTTTTAAGGACTGCATTTTTATTACTAGTATCAAGAATACTGTATAGGGGATTAATTTCACAGGTTGTAATTTTCACGTTTTTTTTCATCTGACACGATCGCGGTTTCTTGAATTCGCGGAATTGATAAAAAATAAAAGTTACATTCCTTGACCATATCCCTTGAGCTACATGTAAATGACATCAACAGGTTAGGTTAATATAAATTTGTTGGATTTAATTTATAATTGACGATTAATTAAAACAAGTGCAGTTATAAATCGTCTTTGACTATAAACGACTAATGACTTTCCTATATACGATGAGTGCATGTACACCCCAAGATCTTCAATACAAACTTAACGCGACGAAAAACCAGTGGACGGTAATAAATGTGTTAATGTAGGCCAACGAAATAATATCCTTCCTAAATTCTCAGTAAGTTCGATAGTTATTTGATTTTTTTTTAAAGTCGATAAAAATTAATATGCATGATAATGAATGTACATGTAACAAATACACGTTGTAACATTAGTTACGCACGGGTAATCAAAACCATGGCCCACGTGTTTTGATTAACGAAACATGTAGCGTTGGCTATAAAAATAGCTTTTTAACAAATACAGGTTATTATCTGATGATTAGAATTAAAGTAAAGCGTGATAATTAAAATAATTGAATGAGAAGCACTACTCGTAATTACTGAAATGACCATGTACTGCACGTACATGCATATTAAGTTATTAACCTATTGTAGTTTAATCTCAAATTTCCAAATAAAATATGGAGATAATTGAAAATTTATTCACTGTTTCTTGAATTCACGGATTAATGAACACCGTGAATATAGCGAATATTAACACTGCGAGTTATTTTCACCCTATACAGTATTAGTAGCTTATACACACAGTTTTCTTCACTGACCATGACTTTGAAAATGACCTTTAAAATTTGATCATAACAACCTTGATCAAATACTAAAGGTCATTTTACAAAGTCCTGGTCAGTGGAGAAAACTATGTGTGAATTATAGTTTCACTTTTTAGTTCATAAACTTTGGTGCTGGGGTAATTCTGTAAAAGTCTGTCACTTTACTGTGAACTGATAATGTGATGAGTGAAGGTTGCATAAATGATCATAAGGAAAGATAACTCTTTGTAGTTTGATCGATGTGTACCGGGTATACAAGTTTAAAGAGCTGCATATTACCAAGATGAACGTTAAAAGCAAATAGATCTCTGGAAATCATATTATATCTCTATCTCTATGTAGACATATTATTTTTATGTGTTTTGCTCAAATTACAATACAACAATGTATTTTTATCTCATTTCTAATGTAGACCTTTTATAGGTTTTGATTCATGAATTTAGTGATGGCATATGTAAAGTTTGATTGACTTCTTTCATTGATATGTTTTGAATAAGTATAAAAATTTGCATACGTGTACTTTTACATGTTTATTTTAATTACAGTACCCAGGTGTGGCAACCAGTATAGAAAGTGACATTAACAATTTAATGACTGTCTTGAAGATCTGGGATTTGTTTCCAAAAGGTACTAGTAAATGAAACACTAATTCAGAAAACAAGTCTACATCATATATCAGCAAATATTCAGTGTACACATTTTAAACTGGAGTTTAAGTGGGTCAATGTCCATGTACCTCTCCATTCCTTAAAAGCACTGGGCCTTGTCCTTTTATTATGTAAAGGAATGGAGGGTACTCATACCTTAACCCATGCACTGTCCTAAATATTCTCTCGCCAAATGATTTTTTGAATAAATGTTCATTGCATTTAGAAATTTATTCTGTTTTATATTTTTGTTCCCAAATTTTTACATGTAACAAAAAAGATGTATTGAAATCTTTCTGAAGAGAAGGTTTGCGATATTTAATTGTATGTAATGTGCTTTATTACCAGGTGTGTACATTGATGACCTGATGAGAGTCACAAAGAGAGAATTAAACTGGGAGGTTGATTATGAAAGAGAGGCCAAATGTAGCATAAAATTCAAGTAAGTTTTATCAGGAATTTTCCACGTACACTGACATTCTAGGGTGTTTTTGCATAACTGAAACAAGGGTTTATACTTTTATTAAGATAATATCATATTGGCAAATATAATGAAATTCTTGGAATTCTTTTATGCTTACATTATTCACAGTGCATCCAGGGAACCTGAGTCACTGAAGTTAATTTTAAGGCTTAGGAATTTTGTTTTTGTTGTAGCAGATACATCAGTTTCTGGGGTCAATCATAGTTTGTTTAAATATTTAACAGCTTTAAGCTTTACAAAGAACAAAAGGGGCAGAGGAGAAATATTAAAGAATTTAAAAAAAGGAAATGACATAATTGAAGCAATTGTTTAAATACCTTTATAGAGAGTTACTAAAGGACCACCCGTTATTAGAGGTTCCTGCTGTGGTACCTGAGCTGAGCTCTAGGCAGGTGTTAACCACAGAGTTTGTGGAGGGTATACCACTGGATCAGTGTACTGAACTAGATCAAGAAACCAGAGACCAGGTCAGTAGATAGGCACATGATAAAGTCAATGTAGTTATATTCAGGGCTGCTCTGAGAGTGCATTATTTCATTAAACTGATTCTTTAGCTGTGGTTGTGTGTAAAGTATTTGTCATACATGTATAACCATAGAAATGCTATAAAATTAAAATTTGTTCATGTATTCATTTTTTTCCACAAATAAACTTTTATAGTAATGTTTTGATATTTTCCAGATATGCACAGAAATTTTAGACCTCTGTTTGACAGAATTATTTGATTGGAAATTTATGCAAACTGATCCAAACTGGGCCAACTTCTTCTACAACCCAGACACTGGAAAGGTCAGTCTAATTTTGTTTCTTTTTTTGATTTTTATAAATAATTTTTAGTAAGATATATACACATGCTTTATCATTGGAGTGTCTGTAAATGTAAGCGCTCTCTCCACACTTTTTTTGAAGGATAATAAAAGTTTTGTTTTGATTTCTTTCCCTGTGTTAAGCTGATCCTATTAGACTTTGGAGCCAGTAGGAGTTTCTCTGCTCGGTTTGTGGATGATTACATACGGATTATAAAGTCAGCATCAGAAGGGGACAGAGAGGGCGTGAAACATTGGTCCGTGGAGTGTGGCTTTCTCACCGGATACGAAACAAAGGTGGGACATTTATTCTTATCTTAACAATTTAATTCAAACATTAATTATGTTGGTATTATACAAATTTCTGCATTTGCAAAAATGTGCAACTTAATTTATTCAAACTTTAATAGTGCTTAGAAAAGGAGTAAAACATTTTATGATTATATCTTTTGCAACTCTGGGTTATCTACAGAAGGTCACAAAAACTTAATAAACATCTGTTTAAGTTTTACTCAATTCTATTTTATCTTTTCAGACTATGGAGACTGCTCATATAGATGCTGTCATGATTCTAGGAGAAGCCATGGCTAAGGATGAAAAGTTTGATTTCGGGACCCAAAGTGCAACCATGCGTATCTTTAACCTTGTTCCAGTGATGGCTAAACATAGACTTACACCTCCGCCCCATGAGACATACTCTCTTCATCGAAAAATGTCCGGGTCTTTCTTAATATGTACTAAACTCAATGGCAAAGTCAACTGTAAACGATTGTTTGACAACATTTTTGCCCGATATGAATTTGGAAAGGAATGTGAATTCTGGCAGGACTAGATCTTTTCGGATATATTATTTTTCAAAGCATGAATGGATATTTATTATTGATTGACTGCTATTTCATATATCATGTAGGCAATGCACAACTTGCAGTATGTTAAGTGTTTAAAATACTTGTTGGTATTTGTAGACATTATTGATGCATAATAAAGAAAAATATTTCATATTCAACAAGGATTTTTTTTTAAACATGCTCTTACTGAGATGGTATATTTTCTCCTGAGGTCTATTTGTTTACAGTAAGAGATTTCTGAATGAAAACACAACATTTATAGGTAGGGATGTCAACAAATATTCGAATATTCATTCGATGAGTTGATATTCGAATATAAATTCATGAACTGAATATTCATTTTCTAAGTGTACAAGCATTTAAAAGAGAGAAAACCCTGGCAAGTTTTATTAGAAATTGAATCAAGTTTTACAAAATTAAAAGACAGTCCTCTTGGATCGGTGCCAGACAAGTCACCGAAAGACCGCTGCATTTCATTTCCGGAAATATGCATAGCATTTCCGACATTTTTTTAATTTCATTTCCGACATTTTTTGTTTTCATTTCCGACATAATTTTCTTTTCATTTCCGGAATTTACCTGTGCGGCAATTCAATGTTTTCTAAGTAAAAGAATATGGAATTTTAAAAGCATTTATACCAAAATATTAATAAGAAAAGAACATCTATACATCTATGCATACATGTAGCACTAAGTCTAGGTAAAAGAGTTCAATGAGCATAAAACTTTTTCACCACATTTAAAAAGCACTAAGCACTAAATTAAATGTCAGTGACAGCACCATATTTATGTCCAAGTCACTGATAGATTTACAAAATTGGATTTCAATGATTTATTATTGATTTATTTCTTTAAATTTTTCAGAAGGAACGTTATCAAATCTGTTACTATAGGTACTACGTAACTATGTATTTGAAAAATGTCGGAAATGAAAACAAAAAAATGTCGGAAATGAAAACTAAAAAATGTCGGAAATGAAAAGTTGATAATTACCAAAAATCCCGGAAATGAAATGCAGCCCCGAAAGACAGGTCACCGACAAAAGTGAAAATCGCCGAATTGACAATTCACCGACAATAGTGTCGGTGAGAAGAAATTCACGGACAATGTTTTTATAATAATTGTTAGATGATCTAAGTATAATAAACATTATCAAAGATGTATATTTAAAAAAATGTTTTTATTTGTCATTTTTGTAAATACATCATAATTTGGTCTAGCGCATAGAAATTGCTTCTCGTGAATCCGAGCAAGGTCATAGGTCGGCAATATTGGGTAAAGTTTTCGATTCAATGACAAAAAAGGATTTGAAAATGAATAAAAACGTTTATTCACAAACACGATTTTCTCTAAATATTTGTAAAGTTTCGATGTTTTATATATTAGGTCCATGATGTGTCTGTTGGTGACCCTTCTTTCGGTGACTTGTCTTGGATTACCCTAAAGGTGTGAAGAGTGTTTCTGTTAAAGTAATTTATTTATTTGATCATTATTGAGTGGTAAAATAGTGTCCAGTACTTACAGTCAGCTTGCATTGTTGTAAGGACACCGTTTTACAGTAAATACATGGATTCCTTGTTTATTTAAATATCATTAAAATCATTATCAGGAAATTAATTAGCAAAAAAGTAATTGCTTTTAATTTTTCTATGTTAGATAATTGCTCTGCTTGGTTTGAATTTGTAGGAGTTATCAGTTTAGACTTTAGTAAGAGGATCAATAAATCTGGAACATGCTTAAGAATCTTTTAAATGTTCAAAAAAAATCATTATATTTTGGATGTATAATCTTCATATATTCGATAATTATAAAATATATATAACTGCACATTTACCAAACTCTGAAATGAGTTTTTGTTCCAAAATAATGGCATAAAACCTATACTGCTTGACAGGAGAGTGAAGATATTCATTTTGTAATGCAAGATGTGTTTGTTTTGTCGAATATTCGAATACTCCTTTTGAATATTCGAATATCAATTACTGACAATCTTGACACCCCTATTTATAGGATATTTGAAAGAAAAAAAATTATAAGAAGAGACAGTTACTGTACAGTTAATTTAATTGCCTGTTTGTCCAAGCTTATATTCTTCCAGAAATTAAGTGATTCCTTTTTGAAAAGTATTTTGCTTTGTTCGTTAAGAAACCATATTTAAAGATTTTTTTTAAAAATGTCTTTAGGAACATTTTTTTAAAATGTCTTTTAAAGATATTTTGAGGTAATTTTTGACATTATAAATGAGTAATTTATAAATAAAGATGTTGACAAGAGAATCTGGAATAATTTTTAAAAAAGACAAGAATCTCTACAAGCAATCTTTGGCAAGGTTTGTTTGTTGTTTTATGTTTGTTTTGAAAATTTTTCACTGATTTGGAGACGCCATCACTTGCTCACGTAAGACTGCCTGTAATCGTCACTCTGGGCCATTGGGCAGTAAGATGCCTTTTTCATGCCAGCACCTACTGCAACATTGAACATTAGTTTAAAATATACTCTTCAACAAAAAAAAAAAAAAAAAAAAGAAAAGAAACATAGTACAATTTAAGTGACACATTAAACATAAGGATTATTTAGTCAAATGATATATTGATAATAAAGAAATATGGTTGACAATAGGAATACAACCTAAAAGTCATTATTATTCAAGAATTTTAAAATCATATCTAGCTCAAGGTCATTAAAGATCAATATCTGGTTTGCCCCAACAGATACAAATGATAGCCTAAAACAACATCTAATGGAAGCAAATATGTAGGGCATGGTGACCTACTTTTGGAATTCTCTCTTTTCAGCTGATGCAATTTGCGTCCTCAGAATGTGTAAAATGAAAAGATGGTCATGGTGGCCTACTTTTGGAATTTCTAGGCATTGTTTGAATATTTCAAGTAATAAGAGTCTTTAGAGGCATTGTATTTGAGGCTTTTGGGGGTCTCAGAGTTTACCAAAATGCAGGTTACTCTGACCTACTTTTGAAATCGCATGAATATATCTTTATATTTAAGGGGTTTAGAATCATCACAGTTTGTCAGTTGATTATCCTGGGTTCTCAGAGTGTTTTGACCAAAAATAAGCAATGATGACCTACTTTTGCAATTCCAAGGCTTTAGTTATACCGGTATGTGCAGGATACTTAAAGGCTTCAAATAGAAGTGATAGAATGTACAATTTATCAGGAGAAATTCAAGGCCCTTGGGCATCTTGTATAGGTTAGATGTGGTACTGCGCGTAACATTAAACCTCTTGCAATAGTAGACAGAGGTATACCTGCTTCTAGTCGACCTTTTTCTTTTTTGTGCTTATGTAACATTTAAACATTCAGATGCAGAATTTTTAGATAGCTTCAATTTTCAGATAAAACAAGAATTAACTAGAGTTACTTTGAGAAATACCCCCCGTCTCTGTTAAGCTTTGGGGTACCCATCTCTTATCTGCAACTTCTTTTTTACCACTGAATGAAATTTAATAATTACATTTACAAAATCTGTGTTATGTAGTGCCATTGTGCACCTTCTATTTTACATTTTGATCGGACACATATTTTGGGTTTTTCGGAACAAAATATGAGCTCGGCCATTTTTTCTATAATACTGAAGTGTGCCCATCTCTTATCCTCAACTCCTCCTATACAATTGAATAAAGTTTATATAATGATACTTTCAGATTCTTTATTACATAATACCATTGTGCGCCACCTATTTTACTTGTTGATCTGACACTTATTTCGTGTCTCCCAGAGCAAAACATGGACTTTGCCATTATAACCATATGGGAGGCTTATCAATTAGTGAGCGTATTTCTCACAGTACCTGTAGTTTATTTCTTGAGATCGCTTACTTTCTTTATCTAACATTTTCATTTTAATGTTCATTAAAATAAATTTGCATGGTTTATTTAAAATTTGCACGAATAGCTAAAATAACCACAATTTTGCTTAAATGCATAATTATTAAAACTGAAATAAAAATAAAAAGATAACCACCAATATTAAAAAAAAAAACAACTAACATACCTCATACTAAAATACCATAAATCTGCGTGAATTACCATACCTTTACATGAATTTAAAGAATAAACAATACATTTTTAAAAGTTTGCTTAAGTTACCAAATATTTACCCCGATTTAAATTTTTAGAACATTTCAATAAATTAACATGCATTATATAACATAGCATCAAACATTAATAACAGCAATTATAAAAAAAAATACTTTAAGAAAAAAAAATAGCATCAATGAAGAAAAAAATTAAAATAAATTGATTACAAAACATTTGCATAAAAAGCGCAATATTTTATATTTCATAAAATCTTCTTAATTTACATAAATTAACATACATTTGAAAATTAGCCTAACATTTCCTTTTTTGCATAAAAATTCCCTCATTAGCAAATATTTGCATAAATTAACATTAATGTGTATTTGCCAAAATAAGCCTAAAATATTCTTCTTTTGCCTTATATTTGATTAATTTACATAAATTTGAATAAATTTACATATACTTGTCTAAAATATCCTTGATTTAAATATTTTGTGTTAAATTTGCGTAGAAAATTTCCTTCATTTGCATTAATTTGCAAAAAATTTCACTATTTGCATATTTCTACAAAAAAATCCTTCATTTGCATAATTTTTGCATAAAATTTCTTCCCTTTTCTTTAATTAGCATGAAATTTCCTCCATTTACATATTTCTGATGAATAATCTATGCAAATTTATGCAAATGACATTCTTTGTTGTTTGATCAACAATACTAATTTTGAAAGATAAAGGGACTTTGTTTCACTAAGATTTCGTTTCTTGGCTCTTCAGATAAAATCTTAAGAAAATAAGTTTTAATACTAAATCTAAATATATCAAATATTAGAACAAATATACAAGTATCCAATATTTAATCTACATACTCCCTCTGTGGGACGTGGAGACCGGTCCTTCTGATGAGACCGTATAATCCGAAGCCACATGTCGCAGAGGGTGCTGGTGCGAAAAATATTCCTCCCTGCTCAATGGCCCAAAGTGCTGAATATAGGACAACAATTGAAGCTCTC